TAGGTATAGATATTAGAGGCTAGATATAGACATAAGTAGATGGAGATAGTTATCGAAGGATATACATGAACTGAGTTGTATTACATTTAACATTGAGTGTCACTTCGAGAACGAAACCTGTTTTAAACCGAAAACAAGGTTTTATGCAAAACCTTTCTTTCGTACGAAGTTTAAACATGATTCTGAATTTTTTTCAATGTTCGAAATCTTTTTTAGATGTCGTTTTGCACCTGTTTTTTGTTTTCATTAGAGAATACCAAATAGTGTCCTACGACTAAAAGTGATTGTAGCAATGCGACTGCATTGTCAAAGTAAATCTAGTATATGAACAAAAAATTTATGACGTATTTCAAATGATTCATTGTGCAAAACCTATGCAAACACGATTCGTTTACGGATACCTCAACGATGAATTTCAGTAGTGATAACACATGATGTATAGTGAACATACGGTCCGCTTACGATAAGGACTTTTTTACTATCCGCATGTCTTCCGCTTGGTAATACAGACGCAAAATAGTGCATAAATACACCATTCTACTGACATGAATAGACTGATTTTCTTCGCTTACATGTTACGAATCTACTGTAAACTGACCGTTGTGATCAACTTGAATAATTATAATCAGTGTCTTTTACCACTTATATTCATTTCGTTTAAATTATCTCAATTTTAAATACAAAAAAAGAATAATAAAAATAATGATACTTACTATACCTTTTCGTATGTGAGAAACGTTTACGTTTTTCTTTGACTGTTATTTTTATTTACCATAAAGATTATTTCTAATTTGTGCGCGTGTTTATTTTTCTTCGTTGTCGTTTACTTGCACAACCAATAAAAAAATATTTATTTATGGGATAAATAGCGTCGGTATTCTTTCATAAACGACATTTATCATTATTATTCAATCTGACGACTATGCTCTGTGCATATGTATATACCTATTCGAAATTTTTATGTTGAAGAAATGAGGTAAATCACATAGAAGAAATAAAATATACCTTCATTATACAATCCTTACATTTTTTTCTTGTTCTGTCATGAGTATGCATTTTGTTTTTCATTCTTCCTCTCTGCATGTGCTAATGAGATATGAAATAAAAAAAAAGTAATAATATGTGCTTGCAAAAAAAAATACACATAGCTTTGCTAAGCGTATGATTTAAGTGATCAGTAAAATAGATGAAATTATCAGTCAGTTAGAATATTATACAATCAGTATATTCAATGATTTACCAGTAAATTGAATGGGTGATCAATAGATTACTTTAATGATCAATTATTAATTAATAAGCTTTGTAAACAAAGGAGGTGTGCTAAATTACGAACATATCATCCAAAACATTTTCGACCAAATTTTATTATCCTGAGCATCAGCACTCATCTCTGATTATTTTTCACATGTTTATTTTACAATTTATCACAACTCATTCTTTCATGCCTGGGATCCTCCAGGGATCGAAAAAAAATCTTAGTGTTCAATTTACTACAAAACTTCTAGTTTGATAGAGCTCAGTGTGGTGATTACAAGTATTACATTTTCTTTGTAAATTCGTTGGACAATAAGAAATATCTGAAGCAATTTCTGAAAGCCCTAAAAACCGGCTTTTGATCTGAAAGTTCATCAAAACTCAATTTCTATTCCACCAAAGAGACTCATTCGACGCAGAATTTTTTTCTCTATCTGGATCTATACAAATATCGAATATATTTCGAACATTTTGAACCGATCGATGGCAAATATCGCCCCGATCGGGTTATATTGTTAGGGATCATGGCTTTTTTTGGTCTTATGAAGTTATACTTTTTTCGAGTGCACCAGCATGACTAGTTTTTTTTGGATATGCAATTCGATGTGCTCTTTCAAATGAAACTATTTTTGACATGAAAATCGATATTTTAAGAAGCACTTTGGCTTATAAAGTTAGACTTTTTCATGGTATCTTAGGGTTTCTAGGATTTTCATCGAACTATGTTCACAAGAACACTATCGTTCTTATCGGATTACAACAAGTTAGTTAGTGTAAGGGAAGAAAAACGAGACTTCAGTAGTTCTGAAGTACGAGTGAAGTATAGTGAAGTACCGTACTTCACTGTACTTCGCTGTACTTCATGCACTGAAGTCTCACTTTTTCCCTCTGGAGCTAGTGTCATAGTTTACGGTAATCACACTAAATACTCCCTATTATTTCCATTTTCTTAATATCAGTCAAAACGACATATCCACTTTTCCTGCTAACAACAAGTATAAACTGTTTATGACGAAAATATCGAAATATGAATGAAATATCCACATCCTATTCAGAAAATACTGTAATTGTTGTAATCCGATAAGACCGACAGTGTTCTTGTGAACATAGATCGATGGAAATCCTAGAAACCCTAATACACTATGAAAAAGTCTACCTTGATTAGCAAAAGTGCTTCTTCAGAGTGAGTGTCTGAGAAAATCAGTCGCTATAGGACATCGACGATGGAATGATATCTCAGAATTAGTTGATTCTTTGACATGTTGTAAAGAGCGATGAGTTATGCACTCTCTGAAATTTTCAGCTCAATGGAATGTATTTCTGAAGAGAACACCTCAAAATACGGATGGTTTTTTTCTGATGCTATTTTTTTTACTTAGTTTTTGAAAGAATATATAATTATTTCGAATAAATCGACTTTTTTATGTCGAGTTGAAAGAATTTCAACTTCTGGTTTTTTCAGCCATGGCTATTGGTTAATTGTGCTATCGAGGACAAAAATTCAGAAGTTTTTATCGAACACATAAATAGTATGGTCTTATACAAGATGTGTTTCTGATTTTTTGCTACAAAAGTGACCAAAATATTGATCGAACTCATTGTATGCCACAACAATGGGGCGCTCTGAGATTTTTAACATAGACAGAGCTCGTCAATCTCTATCGCCTGTGATCATCAGCTTCCCATTCTCGAACCCAAAGCAGGTCTTTTAATGATCAATTCTCTTTTTTTAGCAATCGAAAGCATAACTGTTTAAGAACAGTATTCATCGATTTTAAAAGACGAGTCCATAATGGGCTGATTTGTTTACTTTTTCATACAGCATCATATCCTGAGTATCGTCTGAAACTTTCAGGTCGATGCCTCAAGAACAAGGGCCCAGTTTTTCAAAAGACTAATGGGTATTTTTTCTGATCATAGCTCTCTCTTATTTCTCAGCTAGCTTCTTCGTGGGGTTTGAAATTAAAAACTGGATATTTTCTACTGCAAGGTAAGATATTCTTCGACTAATTGTCTAATTTCAAACGAATATTGATGAAATTACCTAGATAGGAAATGATCATGTGATGTTACTTAAATGGCATCATCGCATAATCACACGCATCCAATCGAAACCTCACTACAATATCGGTTGACATGTTGCTTCTGCGTGTTGGCTACTTGGCCAGAATTTCTTGTATGCAGTTTGTGTTTGTCATGACTATCAACCATGACACATATTTAATTATACTGTTTTATTCCTTCTTTCTTTTGATGTATATAATTGTTGTATCTTTTTTGGCTTGGCTCATACTGCGCTCTTTACTTTTTTCATTTCTCTTGGCTTCTCGTCTCTTTCAATATATTTCTATCTGAGAAGAAAAAAATCTTGTTGAAATGTGATTATATGTGAGAGATTGTATGCATTGAAAGAAGAGAATATAAACTGTGTTATTTTTTCATTTCTAAGCGAGTGTATGTTCTTTTCCTTTTTTGAAGAATAAAATCGGGAGATCGCAGCAAAGACAAATTAATAGTGTTCTTATATAAACCGAACGCACGTTCACAAATACACAACTTCCAGTATTGTCTTGTGGCAATGCAATTTACTGCTTCGAAGATACGAATATTCAGGATATCAATTGTGGACCTTTTTTGCGATAGGTATCGAGCTTATCCGTGCTGCTGTAAGAAACAATAATAGTCATTGATTTTTGTTTCCAAAAATATTCTGGATGGTCTCCGTCACAAATTTCTTCGAATGTATTTTTCGCACTAGAGGAAACTGCGATATGTTTGGAGGCAAAGGAGGCGATAATTTTCAACAATTACTTTTGTTATCGGCTCTCGAGGCAAATGTCAAGTAGCATGGCCAAGACTTAGGCATCCATTTGTATCAATTCATGAAGAGACAGCTTTTGATGAATCGTATGGGCGTTTCCGATGTGTGAAATCACAACGACGCCATCTGTTCTTACCATTGGTATACATTCGGAGTAGTCTAGCAGCCGTTAACGCTATGTCAGTCACCATATCACATAACAGCGAAAGTTAACTACACATTTTTAGTATTTTGAAGATCTTGACCCTTGTTCTTGAGGCATCGACCTGGAAGTTTCAGGCGATACTCAAGATATGATGCTGTATGAAAAAGTAACCAAATCAGTCAATTATGGACTTTTGTTTTAACATCGATGAATACTGTTCTTAAACAGTTATGCTTTCGATTGCTAAAAAAAGAGAATTGATCATTAAAATATCTGTTTTTGGTTCGGAAATGGGAAGCTGATGATCACAGGTGATAGAGCTTGACGAGCTTTGTTTATGGTAAACATCTCAGAGCGTCCCATTGTTGTGACATCGAATGCGGTCGATCGACATTTTGGTCACTTTTGTAGCAAAAATCAGAAAAACATCTTGTATAAGACCGTACTATTCATGTGTTCGATAAAAACTTCTAAATTTTTATTTTCCATAGCACAATTAACCAATAGACATGGCTGAAAACTCCAGAAGTTAAAATTCTTTCAACTCGAAATAAAAAGTCAATTTAATGAAAATAGTGATATACTTTTGTCAAAAAATAAGTAAAAAAATTAGGATTAGAAAAAGCCATCCCTCTTTTGAAGTTTTCTCTTCAGAAATATTGGGTTGTAACATAAGTTCTGAAAATTCTTTTTTCTTTTCAGGAACAAATTTATTTTGCAGCAAAGATATGCAACATTAATCAACAATATAATCGCCGTCAGTTTAGACAATCTTCGTTCATGGGTATTTGTAAAAGACGCGATCGCCCACGGTCACCCCTAAATCGGAAGATGATACCATCAGTAGATAGAGCTCGGCGAGCTGATTCTACGAACACCCATTATCACCCATATCTTTTGGCAGTGAGTAGGCCTCGCCGAGTTAGGTACATACCCAAAATATTAGACTTTTGTATGCTGGTCTATGAAGAATAGCAGGGAAGTACTTTTTCAATTTTAAGTCTTATAATTGAATTTCGCATATTAGGCACTTCACGTAATAAATGACGGCTGGATCTGCTCAATCGAGGAGGGTGTGGGTGTGGGTGTGGGTGTGTGCGTGTGATTATTATTATTTGTCGCCCCCACACCACACCCTACACAGAAGAAACAGAAGACGAAAATAATTTCGACTTATTTATCCTTCAAAACTTTACACAATTTTTCGGTGAACAAGATGTTAATCAATGGTTGAATGAAACCGAAAGGAAATTTAACCGATTATTAATTCCACGGAAGTTACACTTCACTACCATCCCATTATCAGTGGAAGGACTCGCAGAAAAGGTATACATATTAAATCGACGAAATACCCAATCTTTTGATGACTTTTATGAAATTCTATTATTTCACTTTGATAAAGATGTTGCTCAACCCGCATTCATCAATCAATCGAAGAAAGTTATTTCCCAATCTGATTTCATTTCTCAAACTAAATTATCAGAAGATGCAAATTTACAAACTATAAAAACATTCGATGATACACATATTTCAGAAGAACCAACGAAACATCGTTCTACTGCATTGATCAATTCCGGTGTCGCCACTTCGACTGGCGAGACATCAGCCTTTCAATCAACAGTAGCCAATAACAATAACACTATCAATCATAATACTTCAAATTTCGACGAAGCCACCAATTTACCTCGTAAATTTCAATTTCCAAATTTGATACAATTCAGAAAAACAGATACACGCAATAAATTTGATACTAAAATATGCCCGGAAGATCTCAAACTTTTATCAGAAGTAGCAACTGCTCTGACAACAAATAAATTCAAATTGACGTCAAACTCGCTTCCACAAGAAATTGCTTTTTGGTATAAAAAATATCAAGAAACATTTTCGTCAACTGAACTATACAAACCACCACAATTATATTTCATTCAAATTAATCGTCACCCACGTGAATCCATTAGGAGACGCAATAAAATGCGTCGTGTAAAGTTCAAACGTAAACAAGAACAGTATACAGTTAAAAGAAAACTTGATGCCCATTGGAAAATCAAAGACGTCAAACAATTTCTTCAACAAAACAGCTAATCTTAAAATGGTTGATGACACTTCACCCATGGCCTTTTTTTCTTTCTTTATCTGTTTCTCTTATTTCTCTAATGCACTCTTCTCTACTAAAATCTATTATTTCTACCCATCACTTTTTCATTTTCTAAACCCAATGATTACTGTACCCAATTACAGAAAATAATACGTCTTTATTACCAAGCTGCAAAATATAATATTGTACAACAGCAGCAAATGAATAAAAATCGATATGATTAAAATCGTCTCGATCCGCATTACAATATTGGTGATAAAGTTTTAACACATATTTACGATGTTAGAGGAAAATTAGATCCCAAATTTTCTCCCATACCAAAAATTATTACTTCCTTCAATCACCCTACTTATATTGTTAAAGACACTTAAACTGGAGTAGAATCTAAGGTTCATGTTGCGGACCTACGATCCATGTGCATTGATTAAATTATCCAAGTTTATTCTCATTTATATGCCAATTAAAACAGTTTATCCACTTACTTAATGTTACTCATATTTACAATTATTAACAAATGTGATATCACATCCCTTCTTTATTTTGTCTTAATGATTAATCTGTAACCAGGGGATATCTCGAAAACATCTATAAGTTCTTTGACCGACACATACGGTCCATTGAACTGATTCTTGCTTTTACTTTATTCTTAATGCAGTACTAAGGCGCCATAGAACTTTATTGAAAGTTGTTATGAATTGATCAGAGTCCTAAGACAGTTAATCCTCTATTGATCCTACATTGCTTAACTTTTAGCAACGTTTTTCTCAATATACATCTATATTTCTAGCAGTCTTCTTCACAAAATTAATCATTTACATCATCATCGAACTTTATCATATTACAGTCCTCACACTACCGTATCTTCTTCGTTTATTCAAATCAGTATCATTTTCTTCCTTTCATCGTTATTTTTCTTTGATTTAACAGTAACAGGTGATCAATATACAAACACCGTAACTTATTTTATATCTTTCGATTATGCAGTCTCCGAATAACTCGGAAGGTAGCGGTCCATCGATAGATTTCCCTCGTCGTTCTTCTTCCAATCAATCACAAAGAATTTTATCTACACGACAGCATCCACCTCCTGAACCTAACTTAAACCCTCACCAACATCTCCTTAATCGAACCGAAGAAAATTGTCCATCACACCTTAAAGGTTCTAAATGTACTCAATGCCTTAAAGCTGCCAGAAAGACTCGAGCCAATTTACAATTGATCCAACAATTACCTCTATTTTTTTGGCCTACATCTCATTATCATGCGCCTATTTTTATTCATCATTTAACATCTTCTTCAACTATAATATCTACATTAGAACAAACTCGGGATGTTACAGTTTACGTAATCGATACTGAATCTGACTATTCCTACACGATTTCATCCACAGCCAACACCAGCTCTTATCCAAACCCAAGCTATCCATCGCAAAAATCTAGCAACTATCATCTTAGTTGAAGTACAATTTTTACCACATATTTCCGCACCTACGTTTTCATTAATTTAACAACTATGCTCCCATATATTTTCTCCACAGCATTATATTGTTGCTTGGGGTGATGTATTTCATGAACTTTCATCTTTTCAACAATGTGCACTCCTCGGTTCATCTCACATTCAACGTCCTTTAAATCTACAAGACTACTTCACCAACCAATGGAATCGAACATATCCTCATCTTTCATCATGTCCTACTCAACAACATCAAGTTCAATTCGATACTGATTCAGAAGTTGATTTAATATGTCATGTTGATAGTTATGATTTACATGATGATTTATCACCTACACGTGTCACTCTCAATGCTAATACTTGTACCTGTCCCGACACTATCCGACAGTACAAAAACAACAATGAACAATGGACTTTGCAAAAAGCCATCCAGTATATCCTCAATGGAGCTTTATATAAAACCCATACTATGAATACTTGGTCTTGTGGATTCGATCCACAATTAATCACCAATCAAACAACTGAAGCCATACATACTCGCGATGATATGACACTATACGCCATTAACGATGTCTTCGCAACAACAAAATTTCTCTTTCACTTCAATCATGAAATTATTGCTCCTTACTATTCTTCAAATGCATCTACATCCGATTCAACAACTAATGAACAACCACCTGCATTATCTTCCTATTTCGTTCTATCCGGCAGTCACGCTAAACATATTGATACACCACTTACAACACCATAATGTACAATAGCAATTCATGCTATTTCCAGTCTTGAATGGCGCGATTCATGCGATAATCACATTTGTGCTCACTCACTTATTCAATCATCAACACTTTCACCCTATTTATCATCATCCAAAGCCATCATGCTATTAATTGGCACCGACTCACTTCGTTATTTGGATGAAGTTCAGGTTACTCAACTGGTGGCCTATACAATTGATTATCTTCATCAAAATTATCCTCATCTGAATAAAAAACAACATATTTCCATTGTAGCAACATTTCCATGCTGCAAACCTTCTTCTACATTTCCTTCACTGTTATCATTATCTTCTAATATTCAACTTTATAATGACGAACTCAATGCGTTATCAACTAATCTCAACTGTACGTTTGTGGATTTCCATGTAATCGACACACAACTAGCAGCTGATCAAATGCATCTCCATTTTAACCATCGGCACCTTATACCTAACTCAATTATTACTTATTTTAGCGAACTATCTAAAAATCAGCCACCCCATCCTCGTATTCATCCACGATCTTGTGACGCTCTTAAACGTCATCAAAAAATTGGTCATAATAAATTAAAACGTAAACAACAACAGTTTTACATCAAACGCAATATTGATATTAATTGGAAATACAAACATATCAAATAATTACTTGCACAACACAACGTCAAATACGCACGTTTACCTGAAGTCCACAAGCACATCATCAAAATCCAATTCAATAATCCCAACGATCGTGATCAAGCTAAACAAGCATTGCCTATCAATATATTCAACGAACCACATTTTCATCGATATTTTCGTATTGAAGATTGACTACTATTTTTCTTTGTTATTACTTTGTTTTTTTTCTGTTATATTTCTTGTTCACCTATTTTGTTTCTATGTCATTATTATATTTGTTTTTTCTTGGTTATTTTTTGTTGCTGTTCATGTTCCTTGAGACATTACCCTAAATCCTCAAGGCTATAGTGACTGTGTTGGCAGCCGCCCTGGGCACCTCACTCAGCCAAAGGGGGAAGGTGTTAGCGTCAATAGAGGCCGCTCTATTACCGCTAACCGTCCACTCGTCCACTATTAAATTTTCCTCTATCTTCTTAGTGGATAACATGATTTTCTCTGGACTTTTCCAGTTTTTATCTCTTTTCTTGTGATTTTCTCACGAGTTGTTGTTTTTCTCTTTACTGGTGATACATATATCTGACATCCTATCCTATTGTTTTCCTACTTATTTCCTCTTTTCTATTATTAAATATATCACATCGTTATATTAGTGTTTATACTAACACTAATAAAATCCCTTTCTTGATCTCCCTAATTCCCCTTTTCAACATATCAGTTACCGGTAAGAATGTTTTCTATTATTTTGCGTAAGAGTTCTTGTTCCCGTAGCAGACCGGGATCAAATACAATTGTCATCTAGCCTAATCCCTAGAGTGGAGCATGGGTCATAGACTTATCAAACGAGAACCTTACAGGATGTGAGTGTGGGTGTGGTGTGGGTGCGATGGGTGGGGTGAATGGGATTGGGCGGTGGGTTTGAATGTGAATTTGTGCCATGTTTTCATCCACATCCATATTCACACTCCATACTGGAACCCATCGGATCCAAACTTTTTGAACCCGGACCCAGTGAAACCTGGCTTTGATATTATCAAAAAAAATTTATAAATCCCTTCTTAAGATAAAAGAACCGTGGTCTTCTATTATGTCCAAGCATACAAAGTTGCTAGAGTGATCTTCCATTGTATCTCATTTATTTTTATAATTTTTAATTAAAAACACTTTTCACCAAATAAAAAGATTTTAAGGATTTGAGAAGAGATTTTCATGGTTTCACAAATCCAGAAATAACATTGATCTTAGTCTTTTAAAATACCCAGCTCAAAGCCCTGAAAACTAGGTATATTTTTGACATATAGACACTAATTAAATGTCTAACTTTTCTAAAAATTAATTAATTTAGGACGCCTTTTAATATGACTACAGCATTGTTCCTTCAATGAGGGTTTGCTGATATGGTGGCTCTTCTAATAAAGGGAGTCTTCTATTGAGGGGAGATATTTAGTTGCCATTGGATAGTCACTGCGAGGATGTCGGATATTTTTGTCCTTTTTTTTGCGTTTGTTGACTAGCGCAAACTATACATTTCTCATACCATTCGGGTTCACCGAGTCCAAACTTTTTTTGAACTCGAACACGGACCCACTTTATAAAAACGTTTTGGATTCGGACCCAATCCGATGGGCTCTACCACACACCCACACCCGCAACCTATTCCTCTTTGCTATGATTTGTTGTCGACATGGTTGGTCTTATGATTAAAGTTTTTCCTGGTGGTCCCTATAGTTGTGTGTTGTGTTATAGTCACAGGGTTCAATTTTCTAGTATGTAATGTGGTAAAGTCCATCTCTTGCGTAGTCTTATGCCGAATAGCACCAATGATCTTCTCTGAAAGAGATACTTGATTGCAAAGTCTGAAGGGACTCCAAACTCAACAAGCACATGGTATTTTTATATCTTTATGTCTTGTTTCGCTGCCTGCGTCTTTTTTTCATTTTCTGTCGTCGCTTTACACATTCTGCTTAAGTCTCTCTTGTTTGTGACGCAGGGTTCTTTTTCTGTGAAAGTTCTTCGTGAAAACGATGTTGAAGGCACACATATATTTTTTATTCTTTTTAATAATGAGATAAAAGATGAACAGGTAGTAGTGGAGCGACCTTGATTCAATACATTGAGCGAATTAAGGTCAATACACTATTTTTCTTTCGTTGGTTGAATTTTGCGCTGGGTTTTTTCTCATAAGTCATAGATTACCGGCAAAAAGGTTTGTTCTCCACCTATGATAAAAAAAAAGCAATGTTTTTACACCTTTAAATAAACACAAAATTGCCTATCTCTTACGAAAATTATATTGTTGTTGTTATTACAACACGAGGGAGCCAAAATTCATCGAGTAAATGAACGTTTCAATCATTCAAAAAGAAGCATCACATTTGTTAATCAGTTGATGGCATATACTTGAAAATATTTTTTCAAACAATATTTTTGAAATTGTGTTTCGTTTCTGTAATAGAAAATTGCTTTGAGAGTTTAGAAATTATGGAAAAAAAAGAGAAAAATGATATTGTGAAAAAAAACTTATTAGTCATGATTATGACGTTGAAGAAGATAAAAAAGGTAGAAAAAAAAACATAAAATCATGACATCTTCTTTAATGTTTCTCTTGGATATATCTGCCTGTAAAAAATAGCTGGGTTCGATATTTAAACATATTATTATTTTAAATTCACATTTTTTATCAAGGTAATTATATAGTCTGATAGTGCTCTGAATTCTCTATAACTCTGCGTATTTAGGTCTTTAACTGGACTTATTTGGTGAAACAAGATTTCGAGTATAATGCACGCACCCCGTCCTCAAATTCCAGAAAACCAAACTTTTTCCTTCTCCACTCGTCGTTTTTCGAGTTTATTGTGATTATAGAAATAAATTGATAGAAAAATTATTATATAGTTTGATAGCGCTTGAAATTCCAAATCATCCTACATTTGGCAGTCTTGGCTAGCAATTATTTAATCTTAAATGTTTCGAGTATAGTAAATCTACTCTTACATTCAGACGAATTCCCTTTTATAGTCCTTTAAGGTAAGACTGGTACATTTCTTTATATAATGTTTTACTGAAGCACACATTTTCAATAGCACTAATGATGAATTGATACACTGGAGTAAAACATTATACAAAGAAACATGTCAAACTTACCTTAAAGTGTTATAAAAAACAATTTGTGGGACTATGACGGTAGATTAACAATACCAGAAATACTTGTCATCAAACAATTGAAAATCAAGGTTGGTAAAGTACACAATGATAGAGAATTTCAAGCGCTATCAGCATACTTAATTACTTTTCTAAAAATGTAAATTTATAGTAAAAATATGTCAAAAATATCGAGTTCAACTATTTTTTCCAGATGGTTATATGAGAAGCACAAGTAGCGTCTAGCTTTTTCATGGAACTGATCACTGTTATAAAATTCATCAAATTTGAATAACTCCCAGACTTCTGGTTTTCGATAATCGAAAGAGGAGACTGAGAAACATCGATCTACACGAGAATCAATGAATTGAGTAGTGGTCAGTTTGCGATGGACGTTTTGAAAATCATATGTTCACAGTTTATTCTGTTCAATTTGAGTATCAAAAGCAACTATATAATAGAGAAAATCAAGTTTTTTCGATGTGCTCAAGATCAACGTCCAAAGCGTATTCTGCTCAAAAGCTGTGTGCATTTTTCGGAGAATTCTAAAATCGCCTAATGGATATGCGAAAAGTTTCTGGATAAAAAGTTTATTCATTTTTAGCCCACTTTAAAGTATTTCTGACGAGTTAAAAGGTATGGGTTAGGACCGAAACTTTGTGTTCTTTTAGAATATAGGCTACATTTTTTTTTATCAGTTTTTGTTAAAGAGTAATGAGAGAATCGTTGAAAGTTTCAAAAGATTAGTTTGGTGAGAAAATTTTCCTGCGCATTTTGTATTTTTCATTACTGTGATGCGAAACTAAAATTTGGAATCTTTATGAATATATCAGCTTGTAGAGCAAAATCTACCGTACAAAATGTACTATTTGATTTGAAAAATCGACTTTTTGACCAAAACACGTTATGCGTAGAAAGGAGCTCCTGATAAAATGCTTAGATAGCTTTACTTGAGTACAAGCTACAGCTTAATTCAATATCACATTTTCTAAAGTGTCCCCTATACAAAACTATCGAGTCGGATCGTTTTTAGCAGCTTTGTAAAGAGACGTATAGGGTTAGAAAAACAAAATTTATTCATGATCCAATTTGCTTCTTTTAGGCCTTTCAAAGATTATCTCACTACTCTCAAACAAAACCTGACTCAAAATTTCTAAGCCCATATTCAGAAAAAGCACAAAATTCCGGTTCGAACCTATAGTTTTCAACTCGTCAACAATACTTTCAAGTCGACCAAATGAACAAACATTTTTACCAGAAACTTAGGCCCGCACATTCCGTTCAAACTAATTTTTCAGCCCTCGCCTTCGCGACATACTTCAACACTCTTTAGATTCGTGTTTTAGCAAAAATAGACTTAACACTTCTGGTGTTCAGCCTTATTTTATATCTCAAAGAAAACAGTGTTACTTCAAATAGGAGTTGAACATAGTGAGATTGGTTAAAGTGCAAACGAAGCAACATTAAAGTACAAGTATAGTAGTTGAAGCGTCGATCTGTGGCTTTATTTTATTGATTTTCAATTTGGTTAAATCTCGTAAGCTGACTTCAGGATGGCTAGTACGAAGGTTTCAACATTTTCCTTAGTAAAATTTAAATTTGCAATGCTCACTTGCAATTTCCTCAAATTTCTCCAAGGATAGATACTAGTTCTTCTGCTGATCGAATACTTTCATTAGGTCACAAAATACATTGAACTCTTTAATTTTTACTGAACCAAATATTAAATTATCTGGATAATTTAATCATTTAGTATTAAATTTTTAAAGATCCTTTAACATTTAACATAAAATATTTTTTTAGACTTTTAATGTGAAATTAAACTAAAAAGTTCACCTCTAATCAAAACCCTTCTACTTAGTTAGATCGCTAAATCTTTTTGACATCTTAAGTAGTGGATAAGTTCCCACAGTTATGAAAAGAACAATAAGAATATGTAAGGAAAAGAAACTACAACACTAATTGTTTTGTATCGTACACTTTTTCATAGACTAGCTCGGCCGATTTTGATAGACCTGAAATGTTTTATTTTTTTATCAAGCGAAACAGGGATACTTTGTGGCAATGTTAAGTTTTCCTACAGCTTACGCAGTCATGCATTATTGATTAGTGTAATACCTAACTATTTTCATTTAATTTTTTTTAAGCGTAAAGCGACCAATCAACCGAAGAAACTGAACATCATCGATGAATTGTTCTCTAATATTTATATCTACACTACTCTTAATATTGGCTAATGAAGCCGACAGTACACACTGGGATTATGGCAAGCGCGGACCTGATGTTTGGAGTGAAATATCTCCTATGTGTGCTGGAAAAAATCAATCGCCAATTAATATTCGAACAAATTGTACAGCCCGTCGAAGTTTCGAACCATTTAACTTTACGTCTGGCCACAGTGAGCAAGTCAAATTCATACTCGCAAATAACGGACATACAATAACAGCAGAACCTGATAGTCGTACAATACTTTCACTGACTGGTGGAAATTTAAACGGAATATTTTATTTCAAAAGTTTCCATCTTCATTGGGGACCAAATTACAACACCGGCAGTGAACATCAGGTGTAAGTGTATACCGGAGCATGATGGAACAGGAAAAAAATAAGTAGGATGAGACCGGACGTGGGACAGGCGGAATTGGATGCTTCTCTCGCCTAGCTCCACTAATGAAACAAAAGGTAAAAAAATAACTGTCCATCTATAGCATCATAATAGCGACCAGTTCCATGTCGAAAAGAGAAAAATAAGAATGGATCGCCGCAGTGGTCGATTCTGATCCAAGCAGACACAGAATAATAAAGTGAACAACAATGAGGTCAATTGTGACGGTCAATTCTGCCTGAATGAAGAATGAATGAGGAATGAGACCGTGACAGCGATCGGTTTCGTCTGAAACCGACAATGAAAAATATAATGATGTGTGAATATTCTTGTTCATTCTGTCTTATTGCGTTATAACTGTTAATCTTGAAAGTTTTTCTTTTCAATTTCCGTTCCTTTTCTTGTCGAAGCGCTTTTGCTCAGACAATACTGTTCAGGTTTGAAATGAGTGAATATACAGGGTGTTCCATAAATAACATACAAAAACATGTGAATATCTCCATCGTATTTTTACCATATTAACTAAAATCTATTTTTCTGGTAATAGAGAAGAGTTTCAAGTTTTATTCTTTTAAAATAAATTCACAAATATTGTTCAAAACAATCAACTTTGACTAGATTTTTCAGAATATCCATATTTGACGCCATATCGATGCGAAAGTGCCTAAATTTTAAAAAATTCATATCTCGGAGAATTCTAAAATTTTGTATACAAGCTCGTCTAAGTAAGATCTCGATGTGGGCAAACTGTCAGATCGAAATTCGACCAACGAGTTTGGATTTTTTATGACTTATATTGGGTATTTCCAAATTTGCAAGACTTCTTGGATTAACCATTTGATTACGGATTTTTTTAGAAATTAAAAACATTATTTATATAGGAACGATTTTGAAATAGATTTCAATATCATGTATTCCATAGATATGCACAAAAATTTGTTTATTTTGCAACAGACATTTAAGATAGTAAGAATATATTGGGATCTTGAACATGTGTGTGTCAGCCGTTGAGAGAACTTTATCAAGATATATCAGATGCTTTTTTTCCAGAAGCGCTGAATATATGAACAATTATAAAAATACCGAGAAATCTTCTTGAAAGAAACGCGAGAAACAAATAGCAAAACTTTCTACGAGAGGAAAGTAAGGGACCACGGAAGAGGAAAAACTCACCTAACCTACTGGGACCATGAGCACGATAAAGGGCGTATACCTACACAACGCAGCAAGCAGACAATGTTTATAATGCATTATCATGCTATACGAGAATGCTGTGATATGGGACATACGATATTAATAAAGGGCACTGTTATGATATAAGCGAGACCAAAAATATTTGTAGTCGTACCTTGAATGAAACTCAAAACGTATATATATATATATGTATGCCGTAATCAAAGGGTTAAAATATACGAAAATCTGCTTTTTCTCTCTTGAGTTTCGCAGGAGAGGATTCACTAAAAACTCAATGGCTCGATCAAAACTCAACAAGAGCATGAACCCTTCGGAGTTTATGTTAGTCTAGTGATCTTCTACGATTCTAAAAAATATGGACTCGAAAGTTTTTAATTATTTTGGGAACTTTTCTCGTAGGTCTTTTTGTTAATGAGAAAAATTCGATTTTTATATCGAAGTCAAAGCTGATAGCTGTGACCATTATTTGTGAACTTCTTTCATACGAATAAAAAGTTGGAACTCTTCTCTATTATGAAAAGAAAATTAGTTCATTTGGTTAAAACACGGTGGAGATATTCAAATTATTTTGGTATGTTACTCCGCGAACATCCTGTATATGTTTGACACTAACTTTGTTGCAAAAAGATGCTTGCGGGATTACACGGGACGGGAGACAGTCGCTGGGCAACTCCTACCGGAATATGATAGAACAGGTTTTTGTTGCCCCGTCATGCTCTGATGCCTACACTTGAAGTAGATATGAACGTAGAGAATGGAATAAAATTGTTGAGAATATCGATCTTTTCCTGTCAAATTTTGAGCCAATACTTTAAAATCACACACTGTCGTACGAGATAGAAACTTATCCTAGCTTTGATGACAGCATTTTAATTGAGCAATAAGGAAAATAAAAACACATACCTATGATTTCTGTTCTGAATCGGTGAAACTCTTCTATATATCTATTCTCAATCTTCGTAGATCTGCCATTGATCCTTTGAATACGAAAAGAGAGAAGACACTTGACTGTTAGTTTCGAAGCATTTTTGGTGAACAATCAAAATTTATTCCAGGCGAAAACAATTCATATGTACTGTTTCTATTGACTGATTGGAGCATTGAAACAATTTCTGCTGTTAATCTCGCGTACTATCAATCTACAAAAAAGAAAATATGTTGAGAATTGATCATAATCAAAGTTCCAAGGTTTTTGCTTCGATTGTCGATGCGACATTTCAAAGTTTTCCTTTGCGTTGCATGGCATACTTCAGAAGCATTTGAGCGATGTTTGTTTGGTATTGTCTCGAAATCTGGAAAAACAAAAATATGAAGAAGGAAAAAACCGGAATGTGAACAGTACTGAACAGTTTATACCACATACAAGAGTGCACAAAGAACAAGAGCAACACAATAGATTGAAAGTCAAATAGAACAGATCAGTTTTTCTCAACAATCAGCAATGAGAGTTCTTAGATAGGTTCAGCTAGATCGATCTCTGTGCTATCGAAATGACCGCTTGTTGTCCTATTTTTTTCTGCGCGTTCATTGTCACCTTAAATGCCTGCTGTTGAAAAACTATTTCCTCATTTTGAGAGAAAACGGTGAACGCCCCGATATTAAAATGTATCTTGTAAAAGCAGCTTAAAATCTCATTCAAGTAGCACAATTTTAATTGCACAAGTGGAGAATAGAAAGAATATCGGTACCCTAATGACTACATTAATAACTAACAGAGATAGAGGAATCGATGTATGATGAGAGACTGCATACTTCATCTCTATTGACGGAGATGTTAGATATTTAATTTTTCAGGCTTTTATTTTCCGGATTTTGAAACATATTCTGTTTGACCTATGGCATTTTTACCATGCTCATTTCCGCATTTTCTCAGAGCTCATGATCTGGGATGTAACGTTTCTTCTGTCTCCTCCCCCTCCCAAGAAAACAAAGCTCCGTCCATGAGTTAACTGTTGCACTCATAATAATTTTCTATTTTTGAAGAATTTCTGTTGTGAAATATTCTTTGGCAAATATGCGAATCCTAAAATGATTATTGATACAATACACAAATGCTAACTGTAAAGCGTATCTATTTAGGAACGGTGATAAAGCCGCGGGTGAAAGTCATTTTGTTTACGAAAATAATGAAACAAATAAGTTTGCCGTGTTGAGCTTTTTCATGGAAAGCAAATTGGATACAAGCCGTAGAGCATATGTGGTCAACAGTTCGAGAGATGCTGTCATAGCGAGCCAGTGGCGAAATTATTTCGACGAGGCACAGAAATTAGCGTCTGAAGGTGCTTCGACGACCATTAATCTGACTTTGGGTGAACTGATGGGAAGCAATCGACTTGATTTTTGGCGATACGATGGATCGTTGACTACGCCGAATTGTACTGAAAATGTCATTTGGACCATATTTCAACAGCATATTTTGATATCGGACTATGATTTCGAAAATTTTCGCGATAACTTGTTTTTTGAAAGTTATCGTGGTCCACAACCGTTATATAATCGAAAAGTCTATCGAAGCTTTGCCAATGAAATTTTGTCACCAATACCCGACGAAAATTGTTGTATAAACTCAGGATCCGAAGCAGGGCTATTCTTTAATATCACTCGCAATGTTGTCTACGGCGCATTTCTTGGTAGTTTTCTACTTTTTTATCGATTATTGTGCTCTGCTTAATTTATGTCTTGTTCCTTTTTTTATGCTAATCTTTCTGCAATAAATGTCAATCGTTCTCGGTCTCTAATAAAACTATATCTCACTTCAAATATGTTTGATGTGTACTCAGATTTTCAACGCAAATCAGGAAACACTGAGTTATAAAGAATGTTGTTGCCATTCTTCGCTTTTCATGTTTTTCGATTTTATCGCTTTCTAATTTATGCTATACAATAGGATTTTTCAGGATTCATTGACATATTGGCTGCGATCTCCTTCATTTTTCCTCTGCACTTCAATAACCGGAGCATTTTACGCGGGTATTATTCTCAATATAAATCCACAAATGATTAAATTCCATCGTGAGAGCACGATGGATTCGTGTGAGTTGATGCAGAGATAATAATACTTAAATGAAAGAAGGGTGTGAGTGTTTATCGAGACTACTCACACCCATGCAGTCACACCGCACACTCAACTCACAGCGACACCCATCCTTTGTACCATGATTTTTTCCCTCATCCGGAGCATTTTTAGCACTTCATGAAGTCCAACTTTGTATCCTAAGTTGGGATTATTTTTCTAAAACGAAATTAGGCAAAGAAATTCGTATTTTTCGCAAATTAATACTTGGTCTATTATGCATAGAAATATTATTGTTGTGCTGCCGAACATATTAGACAACCATTTGAAACGCTATTGTTCTTACTGTTTTCTACCACATAATGAGGTCTACTCCAACACTAGACATTCGAGCTAAACACCTTCTCAGATCGTATACATATCATCGTGTGGAAGATTGATCGAAACTTATTTATTCAGTTTGAATTTCATTTCATCAAGTTTTACTGGATAGCCTTTGTAGAGCGGCAATGTGAGTTTATGTACGAAATAACGGCGCAACCATACAGAAGCTACGAGTCTGGAGCAGTAGCGACAACCGAGTTGGAGTTGTATTTGTAACTTCAGGAAGATGGATTCATGCAGGAAGATTTCAAGAAAAAATGCGATATTTTACCTAGGAAAAGAGGATATGAAGGATTGAATAGCGTTCACGGGATCTAAACATCAGCAATACTGCAATATTTATGCTGCCATAGCTTTGCTCATCCTCAATTTTAATATTCAAAAATACTTTATTGCGAAGTATTTTTTTAAAGTCTTTCTTGATTTCATCTTTAAGGATGCTCCGAATAGACTATTTCGACTATAATCCTTTTCATTTCTTACCGTGTTTCAGTCAAAAATATCTGACCGCCTAGACACACCAAAAGAGGCGAAATAAATAGGTTCCAACTTTCTTTTTTTGTTAGAATGAACAACAAACGTCAAGTGTATGAACCTGAACTAGTACAACTCAATTATTGAATTGGTTAGTGACCTGCTCAAGAAGAAGAATTTCTTCGAAAACCTCTTGACCGTGACACACTCCTTGTTCCTAATTGGTTTCTTTTTTTTTCAGAGAAATAGTAAAAGGCTGCAAGCCTTTTTTTCTTTCGTGTCTCTAAAACACCTCAGCGATTACACAACTGCAACAATTTAGCCAGCTTCTGAAACTTCACCTAAGCCGTTTTCTCGTGAGAAGAGATAGGTAAGATGAATGAATTTGGTTATAAACGAAAAGATTTGCTTCCTTTCTTATCTAACCTGTCATTAGGATCTATTTCCTAGGTTTTACTGTTGAAACTATGCATCTTAATTAGAAAAAAAAATCACTGTGCTAATACGAATTCAAAACAAAACATTGTTGGTCCATAGGGTAGTACTAAAGGCTTTCATTGTTTATTGCTCAGATTCAGCCAGTCTATCCCAGTATTCCTTTTCAACATCAATTGATTTCAACGATATTAACTTTGAAATACTCGGCACATAAAGCTGCGACTATTCGATGTGAATATCAGTGCAGATTTTGTTCGATGACGTAGAGGTGCTTAGTGCACTAACGATGATGTAAGACGCATTTGGCTTCTTAAATCAATTAAAAATCTTTTTCAGTTAATTTGGAGTCAGAACCGAGGACTTCTTCGTTTCGCGGTAGTTGTGATGCATGTTCTTGCCGCATTTTTCAATAAATGTAAAATGTGTGTGAATATGTTTCGTTTATCACATTATTCCACGTTGTTAAAATTTAGATAATGAAATAATAAAAAAATATGGTCAGCGTGAGTTTCTTCTGATTTTGAACGTTTGTGCAGCACATTGCATGTTTCTCTTGTACTATGTAGTAGTGCGTATTGAAGTGATTTTTCTATTTTCTCATCTTCTCATTGAAATTTCATTTTTATTAATTGATGAGAAGCAAATAATTTTGTTCGCTTCATTTCTCCACACGATCTATGTTTTGTAAAAAGAGTACCAGTGATAATGTCTGATGGATATGAGAAGCAATGAACATCTTTGCTGTGAGAAGGCAATTGTCTGTGGGGGTAGTTTTACAATAACTTCTGTATATAATGCACAGAAAACGATATCGGATCAATGTTTTAATATGAAAAGATTGAGATTGACACTTCATTCTCTCCTGGACAGGTGAGGACAGAAATGACTGAATACAATTACTAGTGGATGAATTTTAGTAATGTACGAAAAACATTTCTATCAAATAAGCCGTCCTATGGACGTTACAACACGATCGTGTACAGGATGTTTTTTCCCGTATTTCTACCAACCTTAAGACGATCATAGAACGCTGTATCGTAAATGGTAATATACGGTTGTGAGCGACTGGTGGTAGCCAGTATTGAATTGTTTACTATACGGCAATACATCAAAATTTTGTCTCGATCTCACTTCTGTTTTTTTCTTACTTTTTCTTGAACTCATCGCTTCTCATGACTAATTTTGCCACATAGACATCATGTGTTTTTCCTTGCCCGGAGCAGGCAGCTATTACTCAATCACTGCTGAGATTATTTTTAAAANGTGGGGGTGGGTGGGGGTGTGGGGGTGGGGGGGGGGGGGTGTGGGTGTGGGTGTGGGTGTGGGGTGTGGGTGTGGGTGTGGGTGTGGGTGCGAATCAAAGACTCACACCCAAATCGCAACTTGCGTCTATATTCTCTTAAGCTTTTGCTAAAGGGTCGTCCCGAAGCTTCGACCTCTTCTTAGTAAATCAAGAATATCTATATCAAACTGATATTAAGGTATTGATCAAATTATACCATTTTTTAGAGAAAGAGAAAAGCTATGATCTGAAAAAAAGACAGTTTGAAATACATATATTTATTATAAAGTTATGGTCATTTTACTAATTTCGATTAAAAAATTTTTACGTGGCGTTTTTGTAAAAACAAAAATATTCCTGTAACACCTGAGCTAGAATGGTTTTCTGGATTTATTTATACGGTTGAATAGAGTTCGCCAAACTCCACAAGAATATGAATATCAACAATTTTGCTGATCGTGTTTCTGATAGAAAACTTGGAGACAAGTAGAAAGACTAGTAAAAATGCGTGCTTCGCCATAGGATACCCCGACTTCTTTTTTGCTTATATAGCCTTATTCAAATATTATGAAAAGGTAATTTTTTTTACCATTTATACTATACATGTGATGCTAAACATCTATCGTTGTTTGATCGGTATGTCTTATTGAAAACAGGATTCACAAATAGTTTTTTTATAGATGTTTTGTTAAAGTACTTTGCAGCTAATCTCTTAACGTATATCGGTTATTAGTAGTTATTGTTTTATGGGGACATGTGAGGAGATGATATTCTTTTTTTCTCTTTTATTCTCTGAAATTTATCTTGTCCTTAGTATATATTTTGTGTATAATAACATTCTATTCAATTGATGGTATCCTGTGCCTTGATCATATTATTCGTGTTCGAACTAAGAAATTTTTTTCTTTTGTGCACTGTGTCTTTTCTTGAACACATTTTCAGTCAAATACAAACACAAATACTTTACATTATGTCATCTCCGCAAGTAGAATGGGGTTGTTCTCAATGTCGATGAAGCATTGCTGATCGTCGAAAATATTGTACTAAGTGTCATTTTATGTTAACTTGGACATGCATAGGTTTGGGAAGATCTCGATTATATACAAACTTTTTTCGACATCGTGACAAGTGTATTCATTGTACGTCAGAAATCGAAGATAAACCACAGGAAGTAGAAAAGTAGCATATTGCTATTCAACAGCTTCAAATCTTGAATAATGGTGAGTGAAACTTGAGTAATTGATTTAAACATGGTTTTCTTACTTGAACATTTTTTATCGTACAATCCTGGGCAGATTAGGAACGTTAATACATTTTGTTTTATTTTCATTTTGTAGAACAACGTCCGTGGTCTGAATGGAATCGTATGAATCAATCCTGTGTACAATAACTATATTCGATGTGTGAACAGTCACTTATAAATTACTGCTTGCACAGAATCAAACAGCAATCAGACAATGTCAACACAACATCTTTATCTCCTTTTGAACTTACTTGTGATGACGTTTTGGCACTTGAAGCATTATCACTCGGAACGATATATTGCCACTGAAGTATACTCAAGTCCTTCTACAATGCATCGTATTTTACCGGAGGTTGTGGATATCTTATATTCGTGTGTATATCCCGAACTAGTTTCATTACCAATCGATATGGATAGTAGAAATACAGCACATGGACCTGAAGAATATCAGGAATTAATAGTTGATTCAACTTCTATTGCTATTTCTCAACCAGAAGATTCACAACAACGTAAAGCTTATTTTTATTCGAAAAGTGCAACGAATTATGCATTTAAAATACAAATAGCTTGTGACTTTAATCATCGAATAGTGCACGTTCCCGAATGTTATCTTGGAAGCATCCATGATATAACGATTTTACGAGAGTCGGGTCTGTTAGAACATGAACACGACTCTGTGCAGATTATTGCTGATTAAGCTTATATTGGAGAAGAATATGTCATCACTCCAAAGAAGAAACCTCAAAGAGGCGAGTTAACAAGTGAAGAAAAGAGCTTTAACTATGATATCAATAGTGCAAGAGCAGCTATCGAAAACATCAATCAACGGATCAAAACTTATGCTCTTATTGGCAGTATTTACGGAGGAGCTATTGATGATTTTGATAAAATTACCAAGATCTCACAGGTTGTTTGTGCTTTGTATAATTTAAACTTAATTAAATATCGTATTCATAAATAGAGGGTATGAAAAATTAGCTAGTTTATTGAACAAATATTTGATAATAAAGCTGTTCTGGTGTACTTTAAGTTTAATCTTCTATATAAGAGATGATATACGTTAGGAGATTAGTTGTGAAGCATTTTAACAAAACATCTATAAAAAAAGTATTTGTGAATCCTGTTTTCAATAAGACATAGAGCTCAAACAACGATAGATGTTTAGCATCACATGTATAGTATAAATGATAAAAAAATTACCTGTTCATAATGTTTGAATAAGGCTATATAAGCAAAAAAGAAGTCGGGGTATCCTATGGCGGAGCACGCCCATATTTCTCTCTTAACATAGTTGTAGTCTTTCTTTTATCTATGATATGAATAAAAGAAAAGAGATAGCTATATCACAGATAATTAATGATTACAAATAAAATAGATATTAGAAAAAAAAGAAGATTTATTTTATTTAGTCCAAAGCAAATCCAGAACAATGTGATTCTGTTCCTCCATCTGCCAACCAACATTCACAACAAATATATAATGGTAAAGGAGCTCTTCCTGGTGTTGATGATTCTCCTGTTGGAGTTGGTTGAAGCTTTTTACAAAATATACATTGAAAATTTTGTGAATAATCATTTGTACCATGTTTTTGACAAAGACGTGCTTCACGTTTCTCGAGAGGTATTTCAGTCGAAGTCGCTGGAGGAATATGTTTCGAACAAATAATACATGGACTTTTTTGCATCATAAATAGACCTAATTTCAATTTTCTAGCACATACATTACATGCATAAGCACGTTGATTATCTATAGTATCAACAGAACCAAGTGTGTTTCTGCAACGACGACGCTTTAAAAAAATCAAACAAAAATCAAAAGAAAAATTTCTTAATAAAATAAATATTCTTACACGTAAATAATTTTCTCTATCATGTCGAGTAACAATACGTCCTTCTAGTGAACCTAAATATGTAACAAGCTCTTGGTACAAATGTCCCTGCTCATAATGATACAGCACACGAGATGTTGCAATATCTTTCATTGACGAATATTTGCGATAAAATTCAGCCATAAATGCATGTAGAGTATGTATTTCATTTACATCATCTTTCAAGCAACGTTGTCGTAATAATTTTTCAATTGATGAATCACGAAAAATAATATATTGACTTCCTATGATCCAAGTTGTATCAAGAAATATTTTTACATGTCTTCGTAATATTGCCCATATCATTTGATTTACATCTATTCGATTATTTTCATCTATATTTCTATTCAAATAATGTTGAAGTATATTAACCATATCTGATTCTATTAAACCAATATCGGATATAAGTAATAATTTAAAGAACTAAAATTGTTTTTTTTCGTTTTATGTAAAATAAATGTTTCAATGAAAATTACCGCATCAGTAAGTGGTCGATTGTCAATAATTTCATAAGCTTCATTCAGTAGAAAATTAAGTAAATCATCTAAGGTTGATGGATAAGTTTTGAGACGTTTGGTAACAAGAGAATAATCACCAAATTGCCGAAGATTTTCACAAACATAAGATAAATAAATAGGATGTTCACCACCCTTGTTGTCTAGAAGTAGTGATTTTTGTTCTGATTCAAGAATCTATATAAGTAAAAACAAAAACATAACCATTACAGATATATCCAAAATTCTGCATTTCAATACTTGTGCTAAATAATCTGTCTATTTTCTTGTTTTGTTTTTAAACTTACTTTATTAAAACTATGAAAAAACATATCAATATATAAACTACGTTGTTCACTTGTTAATAATTTAGGTTCTAGTACATAATGCGAATAATTTCGTATTGTTTGATGTAAATTTGAGTTTAATTCTGTACTAATTATAATATATGTATGATTACTAAGTAATGAGGAAAACCAAAGGAACGGAAATTCATTTTTATAATTTCTCTTATGATGCAGATCACCCTACAAGAATTTTGATTTGTTTTTTAAAATATTTTATTCATCTTGAATTACTTTTTCCAATCCATCGACAATAATAATAATTGGTATTGGTATAGCAGTAACAGCATCTTCAAGAAATGTATCATCACCAAAGTGAAATCTCTCATTCGTTTTTGGAGATTTTATATTATTATCATCTAAATAGAGAAAAGAACGTTTTTTTTCATTAAAGTTAATTTTCAATTTTTATTTACCAAGATATTTTAAGAGTTTTAGTTGTAAATTAGTTAATATGAAATGACTTCCATCTTGATATGTTCCCTCAGCAAAATAACAATAGATAATAGCTTTGTCTTTCATTTTTTCCTATAGTAATATCAATTTCAAAATAAATTTGAACAAATATTTTTTTTAAGAATTTACTTCGATATCTAAGACAAATTTTGCAAGTAACATTGTTTTTCCATCACCTGGTTGACTTGATAAAGCCATTAAAGGTTGACCATTTCGTTTATCTGGTTCAGTTTCTAATTTATCTTTGATTAACATGAAATCCTTATGATCGCCTGTTATATATTTAAAAAGCGTTGAATATTCATCGAATCGATCAATATAATATTGTGTTTTGTTGAGAAGAAATGTATTCATTTCTTTTTCTTCTAGAAATAAAAACGAATTCCTTTTAACATTAATTAGATAGAAATCGAACCAATATTAATTGAATTATCTTCTTTAAAATTTTCTGGATACCATTTACGAATAGCTTCATTTAAAAAACTTTTTGTTCGTTCTTCGAATTCTTGTAAACCATCAATTTTAACCTAAATAGAAATTTAGCCAAAATACAAATTAATCCAAACTTAATGTGTTTTACTCTTTCACGTCCAGTTGATGAATCTAAGCCATTATAAGAACAATCATAAGAAAATATTTGTTCAGGAGATATAATTTCTGATAATTGACTTTTTAATTCTTTTACTTGTTTTTGACTTAATTCATCTTTATCGCGAAATTTATCATTATATTTTTCAGGAAGATTTTTCAAAAGATTTTCGGATTTTCGAATTAGAAAAAATGCATTTGGATTATTTCTACGAAATGCACCATGAATAAATTCCATTAATGTTATTGATGCTCCATCAATCCAACAATATGTTTCAGTTATATGTTTTGGTAAATCATTCAACTTCGGAACCCAACCATATCTAAATCAAATGAAAAACAAAAACAAACAAATGAGATTTATCTTACTTATCACTAATAAGTCCAATAAAAAATGGTTGACCATTATCTTCTAAACATCGATCGAGTTCTTCAAGACATGCTAATATTGTTTGTTCAGTTGTTGAATCTTTCGGAACCTATAATATGAAATATTGTTAAAAATGATGTTTGAAATTATTTTATCATATTTACACCCCATCGAAGATCACAATCAATTATTTGAATACCGGATGGTCCCATTTCATCACGTAATGCAGTAAATACTTTTTTAATAAGAACTTCACGTTCATTAAAAAAATCTGTAAACGTTGATGAAACAAAAATTCGTACAACTTTATTTGATGTTCTTTGATTTCCATGTTTATCATATGATTTTAATCTTTCTCTGTTGATATGTTCACGAAGTTTAATCCAAAAATCTTTTACATCTATAGATATTTTTTCACATTCAACATCAACATTATTAGTATTTGATGATAAATTTTCTTGTTCTACTGAGTGATTTGTTGTTGAAATTGGTGGTAATATTGGATAACCCGGATGAACTTGAACGGGAAATTCTAATGGAAATTGTTGTTGTGAGTTCGATGCGTCTGACATAACCAGGAAAGAAAAAAAAATCTAAATGATCGTAAAAACAAAAGAAAAAAATACATCATTCATATATTTTTGTTGCTAACAGCCGAGAAGAAGAAAAAAACACCTTGGTAACGTGACAACTATTTAACATTCTGTTTCTTCTTGTAAATGTATGGTATTAATAGAAAGAAATATACTGCTTGTTCAACGTTTATTCTCTTTTCTGAAAGAAAGGGTTATACAGCAGCTATAACAATGAAATATTAGTTCTTTTTGGATTGTTTTCAAGACAGAATATTTCTATTTCAATAGTATAATAATAAATATTTAATAAAAGTAGAGTATGTTCTTCTGTGACCTTAAACGTCGATTTAAAACAGTAATAAATATACGAACAATTACTTTTGTTTTATTCCTATCAAGAGACACACCAAAGAAACATGATAATTCAATTGTCTCGCAGCTATATATAACAGAGAAGTTGAGTAAATATAATTTCACAACAAACATGATATACAAAAGGATTAATTTCTACGCTACTGAATCATGTATACAGAATCTACATATATGCAGAAATTTTTACAGTCGTCGAGTTTCGAATAAGTTCTAATTCTTTCTTCCTGACGTGTTTAGGTGACAAAATTTTACGACATGTAAAAATTGTCGTACAAACAGACAACATCGTTGAAACAAGACGATAATAAATATTATGTATGTTAACCTAAAAAAATATGTATATATAAACAAAAACCGTTAATATTTCAAATAATATAAAGTCATAATGAACCATACTCACATTTCACTTGTAAGTCACCCGACAGCAAAAATGGTACCTAAGAGAGAAAATATACGGAGTCGACTCTACGAGCATAGACTAATAATGATCATTGTATCACATATGAGGTTCATTATATTTCTCTTCTTAATTAACACTTAGGGAATTATATATAACTCATATATTTACCCTACATCAGCCCGAATCAATGCATTGTAATCACATGACTTTCTACATTTCCTTTTTTTCTTTGTTCACAGATAATAAATAATCAGTATAAATCAAAGTTCCATTAGTTTAATTATTTCGTTTCTTCCTTACTTAATATAAACATTTTTTCGCTCGAACAAAAAAAAAGAATATCATATATCTTATCTCTAGATTTTTTAATTATCAAGGTTCAACGCGAATGAACGAGAACGATAAAAAAAAGTATCAAAATATAGAAAATATATATTGAGATGGGTGTGGGTGTGGGGTGGATGTGTGGGTGTGGGTGTGGGTGTGGGGTGTGGGGTGTGGGTGTGGGTGTGGGTGTGGGTGTGGATATGATTATTCTCTTTAGCCACACCCCACACACACCCACACCCCATGGAAAAAGGTTTTTACTATTAAAACTGCCGTCACTGTTTCACTCTTCGGCTTATACTTCTAGGTGTAGAGTGCGGTATAGGTATAGCTTTTCTGTCTAGGCACATTCAAACTTATACCAAAACCAGTACCTAGCCACACATACCGCCGCCCATATCCTCCTTCGGTGGACAGAACTTCAGAATTCATGGAAGGACGAATGCTCTTCCAGCGGATTTTGTTGATAGTACCATGCTCACGTTCCTGTATATCATCGGAAAAAGTTTGCTACATGCGTTAACAATTTTTCTCGTATTCCAATCATCATGATCAGACTCATTGAGTCGATGATCACTATCCACAATCGATGACAGTTCCTTAGTAGAGATTCATCAGCTGAATACAGCAGATGGTAAGTTAACCGCATGTTCAGTTACCGCAAGAAACTGCTAGCAATTCGCATCAACAGCAGTGCCAGAGATTTTGAAAATACGATAAGTGATTATATCTCTTCAGGGACATGCTGCATCTTCAGCGAAAAATGCAAAATCACGTTAGGGGAGATATGTATCTCCAAATGAGATGATACAACTCATGCGGGAGAAGTGAGCATTGCTCGAACTCTTCAGATATGTGAAAATACTAAAGTTTGAAGAAATGATTACCGATGTATTCATCGCTCATGACGGTCACAGAGATTCAGTTCTTGAATGAACGGAGCTGAAAAATCTATATTTAAAAATATCTTTATTTTTTCTTCAGTATAATCAATGTTCAGCAAAACTATGGATACATTTGCAGACGCGTATAACAAAAGCATTCGCCCCTTATGGACGCAATTGACGAAGTTCGACGTTATTTAGTACTGAGCATAGATCGAATTACTTTTCCAAATGTTGTCGTAGTTGGCGATCAATCAAGTGGTAAATCAACATTATTAGAAGCATTATCATTAGTTGAACTTCCAAAAGGTAATGGAATAGTCACTCGATGTCCATTAATATTAAGATTACGCCACTCTGATGAACGAAAGGTGTATCGTTTCTTTGATAAAGATCGAAAGATTCTATTGGATGAAACAAACTTAAATATGTCACAATACATTGAACAAGAGACTAAGACATTAGCTGGCAATCAAAAGAATGCTGTGCAAGACTTCATCGAATTAGAAATTGAAAATCCTCATATGCGTGATCTAACAGTTGTCGATTTACCTGGTATAATACGAAATCCCTTAGAAGATCAACCAGCTAATATCCATGAACAAACAAAAGATTTAATTAATAAATATATTAGTGAAGAAGGTTATCTTATTTTATGTGTCTTTCCCGCTGATGTTGATATTGCAACAGTTGAGTCAATCGCATTAGCACGTAAAGTAGATCCAGAAGGAAAACAAACGATTGATGTGATAACGAAATCTGATCGTGCTCCCGATCCGAATAGGCTTATAGAACTACTGCAAATGGATAAGCATGATGTACGCCATTTAAAATTAGGTTTCGTTACCATTCGGAATCGTAGCACATATGAAAATATTTCCTTAGAGGATGCACGCAAACGAGAAAAAGAATTCTTTAATCAACATCCAGCAGCAAGTGTTATTGATCAAAATCGTCTTGGCATTGAGGCACTTATTAATTGTTTGGCAACTTTATATTCCCAACGTGTTAAAGAGACATTTCCAAAAATGCAATACGAAATAGAATCTCAATTAAGAAAAGTCCGTGAACAACTGTCGAAACTTCCGCCATGTTTAAAAACCAATGAAGAACGCTTAGCAGCATATAATGAATTAATTGACGTTTATGTCGAAACAATTTTAAAAGTCGGGCTTACGGATTCAAATCATAGTAAACATACAAGTATGGTTAATAGCTTGCATCAAAATTTTATTAAGTACAGAAATATCATAAGAGCACAACGAAATGAATTGTTCACTGATCAGTATCTTTTACAAGTTAAAGAACGATTATCAAAAATTGGCGGAGAAGGACTACCTAATTTTCTTCCTATTTCTATACTAAAAGAATTAGTATGTGAGAAGCTTAATCAACTGTGGGAAGTTACAAATACACTCACTAATGATTGCTTTCGTGCAACAATCAACCAGCTGTTGCAAGCAGAAAGCGATGCATGCAAGGATAATTTTTTGTTCCTAAAAATAGTGCATATATTTCGTGCTGTTTCCAAGTCATATATCGATGAAACGAGAAAAGAAAGATATGATCAACTGAGAGCATTGGTAGAACTGGAACAAAATGATCCATACACCATTAACACATATTATATGGATATAATCGAGAAATATAAAGAATTATCAATACAAAATTCCACGAATAAAACGCAAACAGCTGTTGCCAAAATAATAGTTCTTGGAGATGATGATGGTGAAGATCTTGAAGTAACATATAAGACATGGTCGGTTGAAGATCAGTCAGTGCAACAAATGTTAATTAGTATGCATTCATACTGGCAGATGATTACCAAACGCTATATGGATTATGTTACATTAGCTATTCGTGACAGGATTGTCTTTAGTATATGTGCTAATATCAAACAGCGTTTACGGCAGATTCCAGCTAAAAAAGATTATAAGATTGATATTCATGAAGCTCTTTCCAAAGATTTTGCCACTCAGAATAGAAGAGAAAAATTAGAAGAGACAGAAAAAAGATTAATGAAGGCTTCTAGCACACTTCGTGAAGCTGAAAAAACGCTCGTTAATGATGATTAGACATTAATTGATTTTATATCAACAGGCCATGATGCAACAAATACTTTGGATGCATTTTTACCAGCGTCTCGAACAGTTGATGATCAAAATGACACAGGTATTCCGACATCTAGCGTTGAACGAAGAGATATCTAAATAGCCTTAAAGATATTTTTGATAATCAATTGACAACAAGCTATAGAAAAACAATTTATCACTATGTAAACTGAATACTGCTATATATTTTCATAAAGCCCCTTTAATAGTCTCAGTCGATTCCTTGCATATATTGTGACTGCTAAAAATAGGTCTGTTCCCACTGTTAAAGAATAATGAGGTTAGATGTGAGATAACATAGTCAATGCTTACATCCAACTATAAGCTTTTACGAATCTTCGTTTTCTTTTCTTGACATATTAAATGCCAACAGATTAAGCGTATAAAAAATAAGTGATCTTCAGCATCTCTTGAAATAGAGTTTGATGATCATGATCTACCAAGTTCCAAAAAGACTGAGCTTAAATTTTCAATTTAGACAGATGATAGATGTGTATGTAAGAAAATATGTCATAAAACTAAACTTATTTTGTGGGAGAGTACTTCGTTTTCTAGAGGATTTCTGAAAAACTATCGATCTTTATATGTACGTAGCTATCGTTTTTTTCTTTGGAAATGGTCTTAGACACGAACACCACGTAATGCCTGTGTTGAAAACTTGAAGTCAATTATCCGTGAGTCACATAAGTCATGATGGTGAAAATCAAAGATAGGACGAGCTTAAGATCATCAAGTTTGGTGGGTGCGAGTGTGGGTGTGGGTGTGGATATGATTATTCTCTTTAGCCACACCCACACCCACACCCACACCCACACCCACACCCACACCCACACCCACACCCACACCCACACCCCACCCACACCCACACCCTCGATAAGTTGACTATATGGAGAATTTGAAAGTTTCTTTTTCTTTGTAGAACAATATTTGAAAATCTTTAAAACAGATTTTGTATTGAAGGATGAATATTATTCCTCTCGTTTTCTACATCATCTGTGGATGCTTTTTGTCGATATTTTGAAGAATACTATCACTAATTAAAATATTTCACTGTTCAAATATCTATACAGCAACAGTCTGTTGATATTCAGGCAAATTTTGAATTCCATATATTTGAATAACTGTTAACGTGAATGATTTTCGTCAGTTCCGATAATGTTTATGTTGGAGAATATTTATTGGATTTTAACTGAGGCCCAGTGTGTGTACCGTTTTGGACAATGCCTTCTTCCGTACAAACTACTTATCTTACATATTCCAGTGCCAATACACTAATTAGTGGTGATGCCAGTCGCAGTGGTTGTGTATGGTTTCGAGCTGGTAGTACAATGCTGGCAATATTATATTTGGCATTGGCTCAACGTTAACAACAGGAACTGGAGGATGCAATCAACATTTTGCTTTATCTGTTATTGATGCCAGTCATGTTACTATATATGGCATGTGTGGTGCGTATGATAACGCTAACATTAATGTTGGTCAAAGTGTACTCTATGATGGATCTTTCCATCAAGTATGTGTTACATATAATAATGTGAATTCACAATTATGTATTTATCTTGATTTATCGCCACCTAATTGTCTTACTCGAACGAATGTTGTCTACAATACCGGTTCAGGCGACGTACGGATATGGTGATGGCCAGATTTAAATCGTCAATTTGTAGCAACAGGAGGTGGATTAATTCAACTCTTATCATTATTTAATACAGCCATTAATCAAAGTTGTGTTACCTATCAATACCAGACTAACTTCGCACTCTCTGGGTAATTGAAGAGTCTTTACACTTCGCCACATATATATTAAATTTCACAACTTTTGGAACTTGAAACGACAGTTAAAATATAAACAAAAAATAATCTCGTATAGGCGTACGAGTGTACGCAAATTATTTGAAAAGTAGATCAACTTACATTTTCCTCGCATTATTGAATTTGTCTTTCTGTCATCAATGCATTCTCAATAATTCAAGTACTAATTAAAGAAATAAAATCACCGTAACTTATTGTGAGAGTAAAATGTGGTACATGACAAGGCTGTTCTTTCTAGCTTTTTATTTAATTTTTCAGAACTATGGTAGCTATGCAGTGGATATACTCTAGTGAGACTGGTGTGATACGTCATCTTCATGTCTGTATCAACAATACATATCAGATCCTGTGATTGCCTCTATTCGAGCAGAGAAAAATAAGGGAATATGCATTTCAAGATTTGAAAACTGGATTGTGTGGGCTGTCAGTATACACATGATATCTTTTTTCCCACTATATGCCTCCCCCCCCCCCTCTCACCAACACCCACACACCCATTGCATATAGCGGAACATAGAAAGATCAGAAAATCTTTTTTTTCCTGCATCGTTATGTGCACCTGAAAAGATTTAGCCGTATCAACTTTACGGAAGGGGAATTTTTAAAAACAAATACATCGTTTGATAGAGAATTTTATCCTCTATTGAACTTTCTTGTTGAAACAAACATAATCACATGATTTCTGGTCTAAAAATGCAAATTACTACAATAACTATACTAGGCAATACTTGTTTCTTTTAGTTGACTATTTCGAATATCGAAGAACACCATTCGATTCAGGCTTTTTTGCTCTATTGAATGGCATATTTTAAGTCGGTACGTTGTTAGGACCGACAATTGCAAGATTTTTGAATTTTCAATAACAGTTTTTTTTTAGTTCTAAAACACATTAGCGTGTAGAGAATTGTTTTCTCTATCGAATGAGGTCTGACTCAAAGTATTTCAATGCATAATAAGCGAAATATGAAGAGAAGACTCAAAGTCTCCGAATAATTTTTTACATAGTGTACATACATAGAAATTCATTGTATCTCATGTGAGCCTCCCTGTAGTCCAAGAAACTAGATTGTATGTTCACGAAAGTGTCAATATTTTTTCACTAAATGAGTCATATTATGAATTGGCACAATTATTTTCATTTAATAACTCAATGAACATCGTATTTGGTGACAGATACATGAGTATTTTTCAACAATAGTGACCGAAAGTGGTTCAAATGATTTGTTACTATTATTATTTATGATCATAAAATATTCGATCGAATGTGTTTATAAAAGATTACAGTAGGAAAAAGGAACCGAAGCTGGCTGTGCTATAAGAATATTCGAGGTAGTGTATGAGACATAGGGTTTCACCTCTTGAAGAAAGGTCAAATAATCATCAATAGGTAATAGGATATGATGTTTGGCACTGAGTTCATATTTCAATGATTGATACATCGATTCACGATTCATCAGACACATTTCATACAGTTGTAAAAGACGATATCCATCAACATGACGACACAGAAGAAGAATGGTTTTATCTAAGTCAAAGTATCGTAAAAATACAATCGCCTGATCATGCGTCCATTCAGTAATACAATCAGGTAAATCACTAAAAGATAAATAAACAAAGAAATATTGTTTCGGTCAATACGAAAATCATTTTGAGAAACATACTCAATCGACTCGCATATGCCTTGAAAAAGTTCAAGACTTTTTGAACCGTTATGAATCGGGTCTTTTTCAATGACTCTGGATAACGATCGTGTCAGTAAATCATAATGACGAGCACTAATTTCATTCTTTAATTTATTATAAGCTAAGTGAAAATCAATTTTACCAAATTCAACATAAATTTTTCCACTAACAATAATGCCAAGCCATCCATCAGGTTTATAATTCGATTCAATAAGAATAGGAATGAGACGACATCCTCGTTCATAGGCATAGTGAGCTTCTGATTGACAATAAACACTTTGTTTATAAGTACTAGACATACAAATGAGAACATGTTCGGAATTTTCAATGGCATCGGCAATCCCAATCATTGTTGGTCCACGTAAACAATCTCGATCAAGCCAAACATTGTGACCATCTTTCACTAATCGATCATGAATTTCAAGACAAATATCTTTATCTTTATGTGAATAACTAATCATAATATCATATTTGTAATAATTGACATTAGTTGATTTTGCAACTGCTTTTGCTTCGTTTTCTAATTTCCAAAGAAGACCTTCAGCTGCTCGTTGTAAATCTGTTTGATTTGAATTGGTTTTACCAGAAAGATTTCGTATATGAGTAATGAAATTTTCATTTTGTCGAAGAATCGTAGAACCGTCATTGTTAAACGACAAAGCAAGAAGAATTTCCAAAGCGATAAGTTGTACTTTAATCGGATCAAAACGAGGTTCAACAATACACTTGATTAGAATAGTTAAAGCTTGTTGTTTGATTAATTCACTTTTCACTTGATCATGTTGTACAAAATCTAAACGAAGTGAAACAGAATTAAAAAATCAAAATGAAAAATATTTGATTTACTTTTTAAACTATCTAAAAGACTATAAAATCGTCGTGTTTGTGCTCGATCATCAATTGTTCGATTGATGAAGTCAATGTAAACACAGGCAATTTTACTTGGATTCGCCATTTTTTTAATATCATCTTCTCGCATTAATTTTCCTAAACAACGATAAGCATTCATTTGAATTTCAATATGAACAACTTCGGTTATTTGTAGAAGCATTGGGATCAATGTTGGTATTGTTTTCATATAATTGAGAACATTTAAATGTAATGTAAAATTATAAAGCATTTGAAGAATTGTTCGTATCGCTGACGTATTGGTTTCATCTAATGGAAAAGATAATGTTGACGATAAAAATAAAATCCAATGTGAAAGTAATCGACAATAATCATCGTAAAATCCTTCACTAAATATCTTTAAATTATCGGATTCAATTGGACGAACAAGAAAATAAGTTAAATGACGAAGCATCGATCCTATTTTTGGTCCACAATGTCGATAGGAATCCGGTGAACAACTGGTAAACCAATCGGTAAATTCTTTCAATAGCATTCGTAAAACTTGAAGAAATATTTCTAAATCACTATAATCGGAATACCATTGTGCATACCATGGCATTGTATCCAAAAAGAGAATATTGCGATAATCGAGATGTTGAGTAAAATTTTGTTTTAAGTTTCGAATCATTGCGATTGTATTCAATGAAGTTAAACATTGAGCAATGGCAGAGAATAATGGTTTCAAAAGCGAATATTCATCGTTAATAACTTGTTTGGCATGTAAATGTTTTAATGCTGTTAAGAGAAAACTAATCGAACGAAGAAGATAAGGATCGTTCATATGTTTATCAGAATGGTTCAATTCATTCAAACACTGAACAAGTTCATCGATCAATAGATAATGAAGCAGTAAATGTTTACATTCAGCAGCATTTGTATCGGTAATGTTATGATAAAGATTCATAAATAAGTTGGAAGCATTCAATAAAATTTTTCCAGTCAGATTTCCTTCGATATGTCGTCGACGTAAATGTTCGATCAGAATTTGATCGCGTAAAATTAGAAAAAATTCATGTTGAATTAATTCAACTTCGGCCAATCTTTTATCGTTGAATGATAAACTTATTAAAGGAGATATCATTTGATCAATTAAACTTGATCTTGTCTCAAAATTATCAATCGTTTTTAATTCAGTAACAAAGAAATCAAATGAGGTCTTTAATTGTTCAACAGAAAGGCTCAGGCCATGTTGACGAATAGTCGTCAAATGTTCTTCGATTGAGTTTTTGCTCATTTTTGATTCAGTTATTCTTCAAAAGACTAAGTAACTTCAAATATTTTTCTGTAAAGAGTAAAATCCTACTGTGAGGTAATTTCCAACATGGACGACTTGATTACTTGAATCGAAACGAAAACAACTATCCTTCTTTGCATGGACAAAGTAATAAATCTTATGTGAAGAGCACTGTCGATAATAGTGGGTTTCTTTTTCGTTCTTTGAATTAAATAGGTTTTCAGCGATAACCTGTTCTTTTTTCGAGTGCAACAACGTGAAAAACTCACTTTTGTTTGCTTTCATTTTTACGCATAGAAAGAGAAAAATGAAGTAGCAACCAATGTGTGCTTTTTTGCATTTCTATGGGTATATCATCATCATTTTGGCACGCTCTTTGCTTGATAAACACGTCGTCCCTAAAATAACACAAAAATGCTCTCATATTCATCGTCATCACAGATTTTCTTTTGCGAAGGCGTCCATAGTACTAGATGCATGATAATAAATGTAGAAACATTCTCAAGACAATCAGGTCATGGTACTTTTTGTCAAATTGGGCTAATCCTTTTTCATATTTGTTTTTCTTTACGGACATCTGTTTCCGTAAAAAAGTTCGAGTGTTCAGAACGACATGAGCTAAGACTTTCTAGTGGTTTTTATATTGAAAATGTACGGATGTTCGGAATAAAAATTAGGGATTTACGTATAACTTTTCTGTGAAAAATCACCAATTATGGGTGGAAAGTTACCATTACGTTACCAGTTACCCGGGAATAGGGGTAGCACTCAGCTATTTAACTCTCGTCACTAAACCCGTAGTCCTGGGTCCTCAAGTTATACTATTAGGGGTACTCGTAGCTGCCGAAGTCCTACTATAAGGGAATTTCTTGGGTCCTGAAATACTTTTGCACATCGGCCTTGGCCTAGGGGGAAACGGCGGACTTCGTACTTCCGGGATTTTCTGGATTGCCATTGTACTCCCGAGATTTCCATCGTACTCCCGGGATTCTCATTGTACTCCAACGCTTCTTAGTATATTTCTAGCAATGTTAGGGAGCGTGGAAATCCTCAGCATATCGCATACCTAAGAGAGCACCCATGAGATTATCAAGGGTTATATCAATATGGCAGGCATCATATAAAAATACGTTTTGAAACTTTTATATGCGTTTGAAGGAGCATGATTTGAAACTACAAAATCCAAATTTTTAGATCATTTGGATATACTGTAGAAAAGTTAGCCCGGACAGACCTTTTTGTCCTGCCCATCTAATATTATAAAAAAATAATAAATCGTGTTGTAAATATTTGTCAAGATTATAACTCAAACAATTTTTCTCAAAATA